GGAGCCGCGCGGGTCGGAGTCCTCGGTCAACCGCGGCCCTCCTCCCTCTCAGCGTCCATCTGTCCGGAGGGCAGCCGGTGGACATGACCGATCCACCAGGGGCGCCGCCGCCGGCGCTCGCAGGCCGCGGGTGAAGAAGAAACCACGTCCCCGCTCGACCCGGAGGGTGAAGCAGACCGAGGGGGTGACCAGGGGCGAGGAAGTGACCCGGGCGGAGGAGGTGGCCCAGGCCGAGGAGGTGACCTCGACCCAGGAAATGGCGGCCGCCGGGCTTAGTGTAACCGTCACCCATGGTGAGTGCCGGGCGGCCCGGTGGGCTTGTGCCGGCCTCTGAGGGTCTGTGTGGGTTTGGCCACGTGTCCTCTGGAAACGTGGGTCCTTGTATGTGTCCTGGCGTCCCGAAGCGGATTCCTGGCTGTGTTCCCGAGCCTGGCTTTAGTCTAGGGCTTGTGTGAGCACTCCTTTCCATGTGGCTAGTGTATTTTGTCTCTGGCTATTTGTTGGATCCTCGATGTTGAGCGTGTTCGAGCATCCTGGACCTAGTTGTGTGTGTACTTGCAGTTAATGTATGTCTTTGCGTCCGGCTTGTATTTGGTCCATGTTGTGCAGTGTGTCTGGACACCTACGTTTGTGATGAGACTAAACTTTGTGTTTGGCGGGCTGTTCATTGTTTATTGAGTACCGTAGGCGCCACACAACCACTGCTTGAGTAAGGTCATGGATCCAGTCGTTACACTCTCCAGTGAGGCCATGAGGTTTTCTCCTAACCAACTAGGGGAGGCAGAAGTGTCTTGGAATCTGGAAATTGGGATTCTAGATCCTCCAGTTTTGAGTGACCTTGTGGATATCTCCTTTCTAGGCCTGTGGTTTCTTCTCTGTGAAGTAGTGTTAGTAACTTCTGCTCCCACAAACCTCATGGAATTGTTGGGAGAACTCAAGACTTGGCGTGATGTACTGGACACAGGCCATCTGTTGAATATCCACCTAGTTGGAAAACAGCATTTGTACTTAAAAAAAAATTCACTTCTGTTTGCCTGTCTTCATTTGTCTTTACTGGTTAGCATCTGTGGTGTACCTAGGTTTGTGTCTGGTGGAAGTCTTGGAAGAAACAGTCTCTTGCACATTGCAGCAAGGATGACAAAACAAGTACAATCCACTGTATTGGGCAGCCAGACCACAAGCAGATAGCTTGTGATGAAAAACATGGGCTTTGGAATCAGCTGGATTTAAGGTCATAATCTTACTCCACTAGTGAAGTTGCCATAGGCAAGTGTTAATTGAATTGCACTTACAGTTTGCTTGTCTATGAAATAAAGAGTAATATGTAGTATCTTGTTCATGGAGTTTCCCAGGATTTAATAAGATAATGCATAAAGTGAGTCTAGTACAGTCCCTTATGTATAAGTGCTTATAATATTAGCTATTGTTGAAGTTGTCATTTCTTTTCTTTCTTTTTTTTTGGTACCGGGGGTTAAACTCTGGTCCTTGCGCTTGCAAGGCAGGAGGTGGTTCCCCCATCCAAAGTTGTCATTTGTTAGGATAGAGGGGAAATCCTGGAGCAAAAAAATAAAAAAGAAAAAAATTCTGGAGCAGATCATGAAAGGAAAGTAAGCAGATGACAGAAGGCACTTTGGAGTAGCATATGAGCTGGTCCTTGAAAGTTGGGTAAAATAAATGTAATAAAGTGGCAGCCTCTATTGGTTTATGTGAAAGAGTTATATTCATCAAATGCTTTTTTCTTTCTGCCCAGGCATTGAAAAACACGACCTTCATGTTACCGCTCAGCAGGGCAGAACTGAACCAATTGTCCAAGACCTTGCCCAGGCTGTTGAAGAGGCCACAGGAGTTCCATTGCCTTTTCAAAAGCTCATATTTAAGGGTAGGTATTTTTCTTCTAGCTTTGAGCTCATATGGCTAAAGGAGACTTAAAACTATCTAACCCTACATAATGATAAGTTAGTTTCAAACTGGGACAGTGTTTGATTGTTTATTCATTCATTTGTTCAACAAAAACTTACTGAAGACCTGTATTGTACTGGATTTTTCAAGCATCTTAATAGGTATCATATTTAAACTGGTATGATGGTAGTAATCTCATCATTTTTGATGTCTTCCCTGGCTAGGTTAGATCCTCTGTGTTCACATGGTATGCACTACCACTTCTGCATAATTTGCAATGAAATTTTCTTAGTTGGTTAACATCTGTTTCTTTGTTAGGATAACACATTCCATGAGGGTGGAATAATGCTATGTTTCTAGTGCTTGGCATTGTGCAGACTCAGAAAATTTTGAACAAACTTATCAGAATGTGGCAGGTCTATTGGATGATGTTGGTTTCCATTAGGACCCACCTCCTCCTCACCCCTGACTGCCTTCCTGTTCCCATAGGAATCCGTAATTCTGATAATCTGATAGGGGCAGATTTATTTCACTGGATATTAGTCATTAAAAATAATTTAATAATAGGGAGTATTTTATTTATATTTTATAGTGCATCTCCTTTTTTCTTTTTAAAACTATTTTCTGGCTAGGACAACACTCAGGAAGCTGAGACAGGAGGATCACTGCAAGATAGAGGGCAGCCTGGGTTACATAATGAGTTCAAGGCCAATCTGGAATACGTAGTGAGTCCTTGTCTCAAAAAACATATTCTGAATTATAAAGACAATAGAAATTCACATTCCAAAATAGGAGAAAACACACAGAAGAAAATGTTCCTCTGGATGAAGCCCCTGTACTTTTTTTTTTTTTTTTTTTTTTTTTGAGCCTTGCTAAGGTTTGAATCCAGATCCTTATGCATAATAGACAAGTGCTCTGCCATGAGCTAAATCCCTAACCCCTACATTTTATAACATTTTTTTTCTTATGATATTGGGTCATCAACACTCATGGTATGGTTGAAATGTCATTAAAAAAGAAACTTTAATGCTTACAAAGTTTTCTATTTTACAAATGTATGATTAATCAGCTCCCAATTCCTGAATATTTGGCTGTTTATAGTTTGTCATCATTATAAGACTGTACTAAGGCATGGCTTACAGCACACCTGCAATCTCAGCACTCTGGGAGGCTGAGACAGGAGAATTGAAGGTTGGAGTCCAGTCTGGACAATTTAGCCACCTAGTAAGAGCCTATCTCAAAAAAAAAAAAAAAAAAGTTTTTTATTAAGGGCTGGGGATGTAGCTTAATATAAATGCTTTGTAATACTACAAAAAGGGGAAAAAAAAGACTGTACTGCTGTGTAATAATAGTTCCTGTGCAGGGACATGTCCAATTATTTATTTGGGGTAAATATCTCAAGTGAAATAGGGTCAAGACACTTTATAAAAAGGTTAATACCAATGCACCCTCTTCTCATTAGTGAACACATTTGTCTGTTTCCTATATCTTTGTTGAATCTATTTTCTGTGTTATACAATTGTTATAGTTTGGTATACTTTTCAGGAAAATCTCTGAAGGAAATGGAGATGCCATTATCAGCACTTGGAATACAGAATGGTTGCCGAGTCATGTTAATTGGGGAAAAGGTAAATTACTTATTCCACCTGAATTCCTCAGAATCAAATGACTAAGTCTTTTATACATGTTTCTGTTTAGAGGGCCGTTGCTTCTTGGCCTTTTGGCTAAGATCAAGTGTTGTATCTGTTTAGAAGGCCAAATTGGGGGCCCAGATTCTACATTGGCAAAACACTTCGTTATTTTTTAAATTAATTAATTTTTTGGGAACATTTAAGGTATATAATATGACATTCATCATTGGAAATTTGTACCTTTATATAATCTGTCTTGGTTCTTATTTTTTCCCCATTCCCCTGTCCTCCCTCCCATTCTCCCCCTCCCTAACTACAAAGACACTCCTTTAAACAAATAGTCTCTGATGGAATTACCAATTTTGTTGTTCTTTTGTTTATACTTTTCTGCCTCTGTTGATTTGGATTTTTGCCTAAGAATTAGGAGGCATTGTGCTTCCTCAGTAACAAATACTATGAGCCAGGTGTGTTGGTACACACCTCTAATGCCAGCACTCTGGGAGGCTGAGGTGGGAGGATTGCAAGTTTGAGCCAAGCCTTGGCAATTTAGTAATTTAGTAGGACATTATCTCAAAACAAAAATGGAAAAGGGTTGGAGAGCCTGTCTCCCTTTAACCACCATTTTTATTAAAATTTTCCCCAGGGGAAAACCTTCTCTGACTGGATTCAGACTAAAGAATTGAGGGGAGAAAAGATTCATTTGGTGACAGGTGAGGACAGTGGCCCCTTAGGTGATGAGAAAGAATTGTGATACAGCATAGTAGAGTTGTTGAGCATATGAAGTTTTGTTTTGTTTTGTTTTTTGGTTTTTTGAGACAGGGTCTCTCTATGTAATTGAGACTGACCTGGAATTCACTTTGTAGCCCAGGCTGGTCTCTAACGCATAGTGATCCTCCTGACTCAGTCTCCCGAGTGCTGGGATATGAAGCATATGAAGTTTCCTTGCTTCAGTTTAGGTGACTGAGTGGAGAGGGGGCAGAGATTATCAAAATAGAAGAAAATCTAATCCATATCTGAAATTGCCAGGAGACTGTGACTCAGGATTTGGCCATGAAGAGCAATAAACAACTGAGACTAGTGTAACAAAGCAGGAAGTTTCTGGCCCTGGTTACCAGTTGTTTAGATGAGAGAAGGCCAAATATTCTAAATTTGTTGCTGAAGGGCAGGGAGAATGGGGGTGAGCAGCAGCAGAGAGCTTGGATTGAGTTTGAAGAAGCTGTAGGACCTCCAGTTACAGTTGTCCCAGAAAATACAGAGACTGGTCTGAATGTCAGTCTGTTCTATATTGTTTGGGTTTGATCATCTGTAAAACAGCATTTCTCTCTCTTAGAGTCGTGGTAAGGCTTAAAAAAAGATACAGGAAATATACTTAGGTTAGTACCTGGCACGTAGTGGGTGTTCAGTGAAAGTATGTATTCATTAAATACCAGGACACTGGGAGGCCAAAGCAGGAGGATCACAAGTTTAAGACCAGCCTGGGCAATTAGCAAGACTCTGTCTTAAAATTTAAAAGAAAAGGAGTGTGTGTGTGGTGGGGGCTGGTGATACAGTTTAGTGTGAAGGCTATGGGTTCAATCTCCAGTACCACCACAAAAAAAAGTATTCTTCATTGTCATTACCGTATTAACTGAGAACATTCAATTGAAGTGTAGCATTTAGAAATTTCATGTTAAAGAATAGTTGAAATATGCCTGTCTTGGCATTCTAGATTCTTCAGAGGTGTTCAGTGTAATCTGTTTGCCCTCCAGTCTCTAAGACAGGCTGTTGATAAGCCTGGAGCTGAGGCTGAATCTGGCAGTTAGATTGGCTCCACTCTCCAAACCTAAGCTGTCAGGACCATCATAAGAATGTCTAACACCTTCCTTCTGTGCATATGAGGGTCTTTGTAGGTAGAAAACATTAATGTATAACCCTTTGATTTGTTTTCCAAGCAGAGAGTTACCTCTAGGTGAATGGTTTAGCCTAACTAGTCAGATTTTTTTTTTCCCATCAGAGGCTTCTGGTCTTGGTGATTATCAACTTTATTTTATTCATCATTTTAGAGCAGTCCAGAGGAAGAAGTTGAATTAAAGAAGTTGAAAAATTTGGAGAAGTCTGTGGAGAAGATCGCTGACCACCTGGAAGAGTTGAATAAAGAACTTGCTGGAATCCAGCAGGTAATGTGTTTCATAAACTTTGACTTTCTATCATCTGTAATAATTTTGTGGATATAATGTGTGGTTATGAACATAGACTCTGTAGTCAAACTCCCTAGGTTCAGCTCCTGGTGTCTTTATTTGTCTGTCTCTCTCTGTTTTTGTCTCAGTGCTGGGGAACAAAGCCTGGGCCTTGCTCATACTAGGCAAGTTCTCTGCCACTGACTGCATGCCCAGCTCATGTTCTTTCTCTTACTGTTGACAAGTTTGTCTTTGTTTCAAGTTCTTCACCAGTAAAAAGGAATATTTAGCAAGTTGTTGCTGGCTTGAACCACCAGTGGTATATGCATGACTGTCCATTGGGTGGCTTGTACCATCTGACGGGACTGTCCATTGCTATCCTATGGACTGTCATACATGTACTACCAGTAGTTCAGAGCCACAGCCAAACGTACAGATTAAGTCCCTTTCCTGAACCTGTTAATGTTATTTCCCTCTCAGGATTGTTGTGAGGATTTAAAGCCTGGGGGATTAGGGCTGGGGGAGTAACTCAGTGGTACAGTGCTTGCCCAGCATGCTCAAGGCCCTGGTTTCAATCTTAGCATTGAAAGGAAGAAAGGTACTTTTAAGGTGTCGTCACTATTATGTCAGACCCCAACCAGCATCCATTTGTGTTCACAGGAGAGCATCTGCCATGTTAGAATCGTGTAGTGTCTGAAATAGAAAGGTGACTTTTCACAGTCTGAGCTTTTGTATGTGTTTAGCAAAACAAAGAACATTTCATTGATTCATAAAAGATCTAGATTGAGCTTGATTTTAGTTGGGTGTAGTAGGAGTGGAAGTCATCCTACTTGGATATCTCATTAGAGACAGGTTACTAAAACCCAGTAAATGTTAGGAATAGCTCAGACCACCTTTTCCTCCCTCATTTTATAACATGATGAGTGCATTCTGTGTTTCCATTATGATGATGATTATATGGAAGCTTTAAATAAATATATTGGTACTAATACAGAAAATAAAAAATTACTTGTAAAGCACTGTCCAGTAAACCACAGTCAGGATTCAAGTACAAGCCTGTCAGACCTTAAAACCTGTGCTTTTGCCTGCCTCTTGTGTGCATGTGCTCTCTTGGAACTGGGGACATCATCAAAACCAGGCCTCAGGAAGCATTGAAGCCTCATGGTTTATGTAAGATATACACCTGCAGCCTGACAGTGTTATTGGAGTGGCCCAAGGCCAGCCTTTCTATTTTTCCCAAGAGGTGAAGTAGTTGTGGGTCTGATTTGTGGCCTGGCCTGCTCGGGCAATGGTGGACTCAGGGTGTGATCACTTTATTAGTACTGTGGCATGGAGTTTTCCATCAGTCTCAAGGAACCTTTCCAGTAATGCGTTGTTCTTCCACAGGGTTTTCTGGCCAAGGATTTGCAAGCTGAAGCTCTCTGCAAACTTGATAGGAGAATAAAAGCCACAATTGAGCAGTTTATGAAGATCTTAGAGGAGATTGACACAATGGTAAATAAAATGTATAGCTCAGAACTAGTTTTCCATGGCAGTATTTCAGCCAGTTTCACTCTTTCAATAACTCACTCCTGTTGCCTGAGCAGCCCATCACTGAAGGATATTGAACATCTGCCACTGTGCCAGACACCATGCTTAGTCCTGGATGAATACACAGAACAGTAGGCCAGTTCCTGATCTTTAGGCACTTATAGTCCACTGACATGGGCTTTGGTCATATTTTAAGTAAATAAATAAATACTAAAAGTATAAATAAAATATAAAAATATATAAAGTGATTTTTTGTATGTATGTATGTCTATAACTGAAATCTGTAGTTATGAAGCTGGGACCCAAGTTTTCCATGATCTCATGGTCAAAGAAACACAGGGTTTCATTTTTCCTGGCACTCAGGTGACTTATTCCACTGAGCTCATTTCCTATACAGAATTCTACCAGACTCAGATCCTTTTTTTTTTTTTTGGTACCGGAGATCAAACTGGGGACCTTATGCATGTGAGTCAGGAAGTGCAGTCACTGAGCTAAATCCCTGGTCTGAAGACCCAGATCTCGTGAGGCTGTTGAATCATTGACCCTGGGTTCTCTTTTACAGATGACAGTAATGATATCTTTAGCTCTATTCTTTTTTTTTCTTTTTCTTTTTTTTTTTTTTGTACTGGGAATCAAACTCAGGACCTTGCCCTTGTGAGGTAGGCAACAGCTCCACTGAGCTAAATTCCCAGCCCAGGTATTTTGTTTTTTGAGTTAAGGTCTCATTATGTAGTTCTGGCTGGCCTTGAACTCACTAGGTGGTTTAGGCTGGCCTTGAATCCCGCAGCAGTCTGCCTGAGCCTCAGAGTGCTGGAATTAATAGGTATGCACCACCACACCCAGCCATATCAGTGTTTTCTGGCCCAGACATTAAGAACAAGTCCTTTTATGGGGACGAGAGCTATGGAAAAGATCACATAGGTCACAGACCTAGAGAAAGATTCCTAAAAATACATATTTCATTCACATCAGTATCCTGTTTGGTATATTATATGTGTTTCTGATATGCCTTAATGTCATTGTCACTGAATAATGTTTTATTCAAACTTTTTCTTCCATAGATCCTACCAGAAAATTTCAAAGACAGTAGGCTAAAAAGGAAGGGCTTGGTGAAAAAAGTTCAGGTGAGTTGTGTGGTAGTACATGATAAACTGCAATGCATTAATTTGTTGGTGTATGGGGTTTATCTGTTCAAAATAGGATAGTGTAGAAATGTGGGGTATGGCATGGAACTTTTTTGGTTATTGTTTATTTATCAAAATGAACCCAGAGCGCAGAGAAAAGTCCACTTCATGTCCCTATAGTTACATTTACATTTAAACTAAGAAAGTTCACTGGCAAACAGAGAATGCTGAAACCATTCATGTTTGCAGTGCCCCCTTTACTTGTGTTGTTGTGGTGACTGGTCCTGGGAGAAGGCTACCTATCTCTGTGACTTTTTTGGGCATTATTGGCCTAGAAAGTGGTCAGAATCCCTAGCTCTACTCTTCCTCTCCCTCACTTTTCTTACAGAGCTCGGGTTGGGAACCCATCCCCACCCATGCACAGCCTGTTCAGAGTCTCACCCACCAGTTCCAGAATGGCCAAGTGTAGCATGGGCAGTAGTTGGCTAGCTCTGGCAAGGCCCTCACAAGCCTGTGCCTATCTTTTAGGCATTCTTAGCTGAGTGTGATACAGTGGAGGAGAACATCTGCCAAGAGACCGAGCGGCTGCAGTCTACAAACTTGGCCCTTGCTGAGTAAGGTACAGTGGAGAGAGGCTCTGCTGCCCTGAAGAGCAACACCACCACTCTGCCTTTTTTGGAATAGAAGCTGTCTGTGTCTCCAAAGCTGCCAGAGGCAACCAGCCAAATGTCAATTTTCCTATTCCTACACCGGTTCTCAATGAAAAAGTACTGTCTCTGCAACCTTAAGTAGAGCTGCTCTCTGTTTTCTTGTTCTGCCTTTGTGTAGCTGTGCTATCCACTTTTTCTGGAAAGTGACTCCCCTACACTTGTTTTACCAGCTCTTGACCTTTAGGCACTTGCTTTTTGTTGTTGTTGTTGTTTTTTTTTTTTTTTTTTTTTTTTTTTTTT